AATAGCTGCCGGCCTCCCAGACAGTTTCTGCCGGTTTCTCAGACAGCTTATAAATTTTTTGGATACAATTTTGTACAGATGAAGGACACTGGAGCCCCACGGGCCAAGGGTCTCGACTCCAAAGGCTGTAAATAGGTAATCGGAGTTGATATGTATGGTATGGTACTTATTAATTTTTTTACGTAAAGTTGTAACATTTGTACACTGTGTCTCCGAAATAAGATTTACATAAAACAGAACAGCAAATCCTATCTGTTACAATAGCGTAATTCTAGGTCTGTGAGTACAAGTGGCTTAATTGAGATATCTAAATAACTACCCAAATTCAAGAACAAACTTAAAAATAAAACAATTTTACACATTCAGTTACGAACGGGGCGATTTTTGCACTCGCATCTAAATTAAGAAATTTGCGTTAATAATTCAAGTGCGCAAAAAGGATTGTCAGCCGAGCTTGGACAGTGAAACAACCCCATTTTCAATGGGTAATTGAAAAGGGTTGCGTGATGTTAAAAATTCAATAGGTAGCTTAAAATTCCACACCCCGTCTCTCAGCTGCGGTGACACCTTCGAAAGATGGACATTGATGTACGACTCCATACATTAACCACCTTTCCACTAGTTAACAAGGAAATTACTAAAGATAGTATGAATTCTTAGTGTTAAAGCGTTAGTAACTTTGAAATAATTATTTGAGGACATTTGTTTTTCTGGAACAATTAAATAAACAAATATTAGACAACATCACATACGTTGTTCTGATCCCAAAGTAAGTAGCTAAAAGACGTGTGTTATGTAAATCAGAAACAACGACGATACCACAAACACCCGGACTCGAGACAATATAGAAAAGTTAGTTTTTCTACACTGGCCCGGCCGGGAATCGAACCCGGAACCTCAGAGATGGCGACACTATGAAACCGGTATGCAAGCCTCTAGGCCAAAGAGATTGTCACATTATTATATTAAAATATCTAGATGCGAACGTTGTACGTCTAAGTATTCATCTTATTAGTCAGGTTTCTTTGACCGATATATTGTATTAAATATAAGACCGAGGAGTGCAGAATAATGGAAAACTTTTTGTAATCAAAATTAAAATCAGCCATTTTTAAAGATGAACTCGCTCAATTAGTGTTTCACAGAGTAAATTTTGGGTTTGATTTTTTAAATATTTTTTTAAGTACCACATAAATTGGTATCTCACCAAATGGTACGGCCTACTGAATGTAGATTTACATGGGAGAATTCGAAAAAGTTCTTTGACAAGTTCTTAATTTTCATCTGTACAATCACCCATTTCCGGTACACCGGTTAGTAGATTTTCAAAAACATTTTTTTCCAGAGACCGTATGCAGTCAACGGAATCCTGTAATTTAATGCAACTATTTTGCAATGACTTAGTAAGAACAAAACAGTACGAGTATGTATATATGTTGGATTAGTAGTGAAAAATTATTTAATAATAATAAGGTTTTTTTTTGTGCCTGGGGTGGTACAAAATAATCTACGCGATGAATATTTAATTCCTTTTGAACATCTTTTGTTTGTTTTAATTTAATTTTGTCTAAATAAATATGTCAGATACCGTGGGGACAGATCTTTGTGAGCTTCGAGACAGACATTAGCGATAGTGTGAAGTCACAAAAGATTAAAAAGACTAACTCATCTCGCAAGTCAGGTCACACTTTGGGTCACTATGCTAACGGAATAAGCACAGATGGAATAAGTAAGCAAGACAAATGTTACTATTCAAGTCATACGATGATCCTGAAATAGTACTCTCACTTAAGCATCAAGCAATTAAAACTGCCACAAATAATACCTACTAATTTTTGTGCGATATATAAATGATGTAAGGTATTATTTTTAACAAAAAAGTTTTTAAAGTACTATTAATAAGGGCTGTCACGCTGTGCGCATAGTTTGATTTTAAGTTAAATTTTATTGTCAGTTTAATTTTACCTTACATACCCCTTAAACATACACGACATCATACGTATCTTCCAGTAAGGTAGGCAACAATTTACGTATCAATTTAAGTCGGTGCGGATTTCTTTCGCTATTCCTTAATTATATTTGTAGGATAGAAAAGAAATTAATTCGATAAACTTGAAAACAGTAAGCTACGAAGTTTTGAACAAAGAGTACTAAATTTTCCTATTATTTTCTATGGAAAAGCATCAGGTTTGGAGAATTCACTCCACGGTTTTCTGTTTTGTACAATCTTGTACCAGTGGCTTCATCGATTTGTATGGGATAATAAGACGAAGTAGCGCTCATAGATTTTTTAGTTTTTACGTTATAATATCAAGTAACGAAAGGAACAAGTCGTGCGCTTGGTGGTATCAGTGCCTGTCCACAACAGTTGCAGTGTCATTCAGAGCTTTAAATCGCAAAGACTTTAGGAGCACTGCCACTGCGTCCTGAGACATAAGTGGCCAAGTCCCAAGTGCACAGACACTTGGGACTTGCCAACTTATGTCTCAGGGGTGAAATTACAGAATTTCACCAGCACCCTTACTCTTCAAAACCGGAACGCAGTAAGGCTTACATTACTGCTTGGCGGCAGAAATACTGGACGAACTCTTTCACAAACAGCTCTATTGCTACTAAATTTTCCTTAGACTTTCGTAATAAGTTTTTTCAACACATTAATACAGCTTTAGCGTTTAGCTAGAAAAAGTGTAAGTAAATATTTACAATTAACATTCGTCCTTCTAAAATACGTAAAATATGTTTCTAATTTCGACCCCCAATACTAGTTAAGCAATATTACCAGAAAGCTGTAAACGATATTTACTTTTATTTTCATTGCGTTAAAGTTCACACTACTTTTTACCCCATTTTTCGTAGTTCTCGAGTTTATATGTAGCTTTGAATACCTTTTACCTATTTTTATGGAGATAAATCGGAGTTTTACAAGTGTTGAAGTGTGAAATAATATTTGTTACTTAACTCTATCAACGTTTGCATATTCCCACTTATTTACATTTGGGGTTTGCTGCGAGGCACTTTTTTATAAAGAGCATGGAACAAAATATCTCAGCAAACAAGTTTTACAGTAAATGACAATTTCTATTGAATAAAATGGCTCTAGTATAATTGATACCCCTGTCCCATTATTATCTAAATTACCTATATAGCATGTACAATCCTTATCTACATAAGCCAGCAGGCATAAAGGCGGTTTTGTTTCAAGCAATCACCAAGTGAAAGCCTCGAGGTAGGTATGCTGTGTGGAGACTGTTCGAATCCATTTACTGCTCTAAATTATGCGTAAAACGTCCATTTGACGCTCACCCCTCTTCCCTCTTATCGCTTGGACAGGAACGGACGGGGAGCCTCGGGCGGGGGTGCCGGACTAGGGCAATTGGGGGGTTGAAAACCCCCCAAGTGAGGGAGGTCCGAAGTCCACCTCACCCTTTAGCTACCCTGAAGTTCCATCTCACACCTATAAATTCGGCACACACATTTCACCCCATCGGGCGGGGTGGCCCATGGCGTACCAATCCTTTCGCTGCGGCTATGTCACACTTGCTAGGCCGCTGGTGACCCCCACTACAAATTAATATTCTGAAATGTTTCCGTTTCGCTCTGATCGTTAATCATTGCCGACTCTGCCTCCGATTTCAGCACGGCTTATGTATATTCCATCTTGTGACCAGTCACCGACACCTTGCCTAGGTTCCTAATGTACTTTATCACGCAGTGACAGATAAAAAACTTCGATTTTGATTTATCTTCTAACCAATTTTTTTTTCATACTTCCAAGTTGTTTAAATTTTTTACAATTTTTTTTGGTACCGCTTTATTTACTTATTATATTATAATGTATTGAAATAAGCAGGTTTGTAACCTAGACCCAGTAAACTTAATATCGACTGGCAAATACTTGCGCAATTAATTCATCACATAAAATGTGCTATAAAAAAACAATTAAAAACTGAAAAAAGTCATACCGTGTCACGTTAATTAAACACATGACGAATTCACACCAAAAGAACACTTCGCATGAGAAATCAGTTTTCTGTTCTTCGCTGTACAGTTCCCATGTGGCTTTTTAAATATTTAATACTCACAATTTCATGACCCACAACTTTCGGTTGCCGCAACACCGGTGCATATTTCCACGCCTACTTAAATAAGCTAATCATAATCAACTATGTATATTTGTTGATAAAAATATAACAATAGAGTTTAAGGAAGACGTTAATTTCTCTAGATTCGTAGCAAGTTATGTACGTGATAAATATGCACGAAGTGCCTTTGCAACGTCGCCAAGAGTAGAAATATTTTTTACAGAAAAACAGTTGTTTAACTAATTGTGTAACATTTTAACTCAGTTTTGTATTAAATAACCTTGTGGAATACCTTTACTCTAAACAAAGTAAAAATAATTTTGGAAAATAATTATGAAGTTCGTAGAATTCGTAATTTCATAAGTTCATAATTATGTTAACGAAATCCTGTTTCTCTGCTCTCTGATGTGTATCTCTTTCTAATGTCAGACAAACATTTTTTTTTATTAATGCATATTAAATGTTTTAAGAACTTTTATTTATATTTAGTATTCGTATATAAACCTATATTCGTAGGTAGGCTACATATTATGAATCCCAACATATTATGCAATTCTACGCATTATAACATTTTGTTCTAAGAAATATTTTTTAAGTTCACTGTGACACATAAAGTCGCATCAATTAACATTTGGAAAATTTATATTCTAAAGTAAGGGTGGCGCCAGAGGGTCGCGCAAAAAGCTCGCAGGTATTCAAAAGTCGAAAAAGTCAGATCACATTGTCAACACATCAACAAACACAATGTTTGATATTTTTTATTTTGTCCCTTGTGGGATTGACACTAACATGTAATCGATTTAGTAAAATTTAAAAGTGTACATTATTATTATTTTAGATTGAAATTACTGTACATAACATCAAAAAACATGAGTATTGCACTCTCTAAATGATAAGGAGGCCTATGTATAAATAATTTTATTTGTGTACAACTTTATTAGCCGATTTTTTACTCATCCCCTTGCCTCTATCAGTCAATCTAAAAGTCTTACAAAGTAAAGTAACTTTAGCACCAGCCGAAACATTCTCATCCAGAGTTTTGATCGTATTCATTAACAGGTATTTGTTCGCGTAATGATTGTTTCTAATATTGAAGTTTTCGAATTTATTCTCAATCAGTTTATCACTGTCGGTTTGTGTTTGCTTCTTATTCTCGTCATAATCGGACATAGTAGAGCTGTTACTGAAATTACAGACCACATCTACTCGAATTACTTGAACGGTTTCAGGACTCGGAACCCTAGTTATAGTAAGACTTTTTCTTTTTCCAGATTTATGAAAGGCTATCTTTGTATCGTCAATGTTTGAATCTTTTTCACACGTAACTTTAGATGTAACTTCATTGTGAATACCTCCTGGTTTGTGTGAGTTCTTGAGTTTTTGTTCTACTATGGGTGTCTTTTTTGAAACCATTGTTTTTGTGGTATCTACTTGTACAGCTTTATTTTGTTTAAACTTTGTGGTAATTCCTTGAAGAAAGATGCTTGATTTTCCAGAAGATGGTCTTGATCTGTCTGTGTTAGTGACGTATTTAGCATAATCATCAAAGTAATAGCATGTCTGTTGAGAAGAGCGGCCATCTTCAGAGAGATCCTGATCTTCAACTATTTGCTTAACAAACATCCTGTGTGTATTGTGACCCATCAAAGTTTTATACTTAAAGCTTGTCCGTGAACGCTTTCTCTGCTCGTCGCCAAGGAATTTCAAGTTTTGCACTGAAAGAAATAAATCATCGGCGTCTTTTTGTCTGGTCTCTTTGTTGGGAGTACCATCTTGTCTATTCATACCGTTGCAGTGGAACCTGTACGCAAAGCGATAAGAATGTTTAGGTATATTTAAGTGCAAGCTACTTTTTCCAACATTATTTTAGTTACATCTATTTTAGTTGATTAACTAACAATAGTACCTTTCAAAGACGCCGATCCATCTAGGACCTTCATCGTGATCTGGATTAACCAGCCGCTTCTGGCAATATCGTCGTGGCTGGTCCGGAGTGGCTGCCCTCCCAAACTTAACGGTGGTCTTTGGCCTTTGTTGAAGATTGATTCTGGCACATATCATTGTCTTTACTCTTGAAAATAAATGGTGTTATCTTTGCGCGTTATTAAATATAACTTGAAGAAATAGCGACGAACTGGGATAGAAAAATACACCCTGTAAACAAGAACGATAATAATTAAATCATAAAGCAGTGAAAACTAAATATATTAAATTTCAAGTTTAGGACTTCAAATACCACAGCTGAAGAATAGCTGAATAACTTTTTACTGTTTTTTAAATTTGAAAATTAATCCTGAAACGAGATCGAGAACGAGGAAATTACTCCACTACAATTCACTTAGAAATTAAATTAATAAACTAGACTTAAATATAATTATTTCTTTCGTTATTGAATAAGATCACATCTGTAAACCGAGTTCATCTTTCAACCTACTGCAGCAGTAAAAGGTACGTGTATATTTTCCGTCTTAAGTAAACTATATGAAGACAAGACGAAAATCAAAATTAAATAAAGTCAGAGTCGGAGAGTCCAACTTGATGTAGAATATACAATAAGATCTCCAACATAACAACACAATTTATATCTATCTACAATTGATTGAAGGATCAACTCTTGATTATTCATTTTTGATAAGCCGAGTTTCTGCTTTATATTAAGTTTATTTTTCGTCCATTTTGCCCATTTCACCCTGGCACTTACGAAGATTTTCTTGACTGCGTGTTACTCAGTTGATATATTTTACATATCATCCAGGACTATTTTCAGCTCTAACTAATGTTTACTTGTCACTATCGTGCAAAGTTATGCGTCGCGCTATTTCCGCGATAATATATAGTACTTATTATTCTGTTGCATTGTTTCCTAGTACAGATATGCGTATTTATATCACTAAAATAAATGCCTGATGTTGTTCATGTCAGTTGTGGTATTTAAAGAAAATTACAATGTTCAGCTGCACGCAATTCCTGAAAGAGAACCATGACCTTGAGAGCGATCACTCGAGTGTTGGCATCGTGTCAATTCGTAAACTATTAACTATGATGAGCGGCTCTGATTGGTAAACCGCCGAATTTATTGCATACACAGTCAAAATTGATACACTCACGAATAAACAGTGTCAGTATATGTAAATTTTGAGAAGTGCACTCGGATTTTTAATACAGTACCATGAAATATGAAATTAAAACAAAATGTTTTTTTTATAATACTAAGTGACGGGACGAATAAGCCGTTTGCCTGGTGGTAAGCGTCACGCCTGTCCTGTCATTTGCAGTGCCACTCAGAGTGGCAGAGCTTTATATCACAAAGAGCTGAGGGGCACTGCCACTTCGCCCGACACCCTGAGACGTAAGTTGACAAATTCCATGTGCCTGTAATTTCACCAGCACACTTAACCTTCGAAACCGGAACGCAGTAATGTTCACATTACTGCTTGGCGGCAGAAATAGTTAAAGTGGCAGTTCTACCCTGGACGAACTCTTTCACAAGGATCTCTACTGCTACTTACTTATATACTTTATTGTACAATATGGGAAATAAAATACATCAAAGGTATAGAATAATAGAAAAGGAGAAGCTTTATTGCACACAAAATAAAACAGTGAAGGATAGTTAATTGTGCACAAAACATCTAAACGGTGAGTTCTAGTATTTACAAGTACAAAATATACACGTTTGTTTTATTTTCATAATTTCTTTATTTTTTAAAGTTTTAGCCTCTTTAAAGACATTCTGTTAAAGGTCAGTTTTCTACAAAAAATCACTCAAACATCATCATACTGTACAAGATAGGAGATAAAAATGAAATATTTAATTTGTAAACCCCCTTACTTATTCCTAAAAAATATAACATATGTATAAAAATATTAATTTGATTGAAAATCGTATTGCAGAGATCCTGATTCACATCAAGCACCCGAAGAAGCATGTTTCCATCCTTCCTTCTCCACAATCAACCATTTGCGGAGTGCTTAACTAGATTTTCTAATGGAAACACTGTAAAAACAATAAATACCAGTAAACTTAGGTTTTGTTAACTATTCCCAGGCATTTCATAACGTCAACCACAGAGAAGGCACCACTCTTCAAACTCAAAACCTCAACGAAACCTATATCAATTATAATCAGTTTGTATTGCGTAACGAGTAGCTGAGTGTACATGTAGTCTCTATGACTGAAATAAATATTCTAATAAAATATTAAGTCAGATTTTGGACAATCCGACGCATAAGTTTGTGGCAGTGCGACAAAGTAATGCGTTCTAAACACGATACCTGATTAATTCAAATTACCTTACCTTGATTTTAAACGCGCAATCCGCTTCGAGTCTAGCATTTAAATTATTAACTTGAAGTTTATTGTAGAGAATTAGTTTACAGTTTACGGTTTACGATGAGTGGTAGTCTCTTTGTATTATATATTGGCCAGATATTCAACATTTTTTTAATATCATATGAAGTGACGAGACGAACGTGTCGTGCGCCTGATGGTAAGCTACACGCCTGTCCATAACAGTTGCAGTACCACTTTAAATTGCAAAGATCTAGGGCGGATCAAAGTGGTCACATAGCGGCCGAGTCAGATCGTGCCTTATTAAAAAGAACCAGAATTAGGATGAAAAAATTAAAAAAAACAACATGGCGCTGGCAGTGTGCCATTATCAAACGTAAAGTCGCGGGTAAATATTTGAATTATGTGTACTTTCCGAATAAGTACCTGAAACACATTGATTTTGTGCACAAATTCATCTACTTCGTCAACCCATCATACGTCTCACTGCCAGCTACGGATCTCTTTAAGAAAGGGTTGCTGCTACTACATGCTGCCAACAGCTACGGCACGCCACTCCCTGTGCAAGTGGGGGCTATTACACGTTTTCCGAAGATTGTAAATAGGGTTACCAGCTCCCGTTTCGTGTTTTAGAGGATTTGATAAGATAAAATAAAAGCCCAAGGATGAAAATAAGAGACATCAAGTTTCCATTATAATATTAGTAGCATAAAAAATTCTAGTATGCTGTTGCATAATAGAATAATATCGTAGTATTAGTTCATTGCAGCTCAGATAAGTACTCATTTATTTACTATGAACAACAGCAAAGAGTACCTATCATAAAAACAAATGCAGAATTACTTTTTTGTAATGTACGTACTAGATATTACTTTTAATGGTTTTGAGATCGTCTCGTTTTCCATCATAAAATTCTTTGCGTTGCATGTTGAAGTAAGATTTTGTTATTTATTTTATTTAATAGTTTCTTGTACAGGAAAAATACAACAAGTCATAATGAATACAAGGAAAATTAAAACAAAAGGTTCGGTTTCTTTCTAATAGAAATTTCTTCCTGCAGACCTAAATACAGGACACTATAACTAAATTTTTTTGTAGTTCTGCTTTCATAGTTTTAATTTTTTTTATGTCTCATTGCGGTTTTTAGTCCAGAAAACGAATTTGGCGGCGGCTACGCATTCGCCTACGTTATTTATTTTTAAGTTAACAACGTAGTACGCTTCATTTTTTGTTTCAAAATGGAGGAAAAGATTCAAGTTTAGGTCCGAAAAGGGGTACGTCCAATGATATTTTGGATACTTCATTTAAAATAGAAAACTCTGGCAACCCTATCCAACCTTCTACGAGATGCAGGTTTAATAACAATGCTTTTCTTCACCGATGGGTATTGGTAATGTAAGTAACTTAGAAATCAAAGCAGTAGACCCATGCTGCCACAAGAATTCAAACTCACAACCGCTCCGCGAATTAGCCGTTAAAAATACCGCCCAAAACACATTTACATGTGAATCGACAAATGTCAGCTTTACATATATTTTGCTCGAATTGCTGGCTTTGAAACGATTTATTTTCAATGAGGGAATTTCGACAAGGAACCTATGAAGAATTTTATAAAGCAAAAGCGCATTTACTGAAATAACTATTTGTTATGTCAAAGCGGCAAATTGTCAGACACGCCAATAGATAGAATTTTTTATTATCATTTCAAGTGACGGGACGAACAAGTCGTGCGCCTGATGGTAAGCTACACACCTGTCCATAACAGTTGCAGTGCCACTCAGAGATTTAAATCGCAAAGATCTGAGGGGCACTGCCACCGTGTCCGTCACCCCAAAACATAAGTTGACAAGTCCCAGGAACCTGTAATTTCACCAGCACCCTTAACCTTCATAACCGAAACCGTAAAGTTGATATTACTGCTTGGCAGCAGAAATAGGTTAGGTAACTAGGCACTTCCCTGGACAAACTCTTCCACAAGGAGCTCTTCTGCTATTAAAGTTAGATATTAGTGGGTTTACATCGAAATTAACATCGAAATTAACACTGGCCCCAGCTTAGTGGCTGCCATTAAAGAAATAATAATAATCATCGCTTACAGATAAATATTTGCAGAATTGAGGAAGTATATTTAATATTGCTTATGCCTTGCAGATCATAGGACATAAGAATTGAAGTTTCCTTGATCGCCTTGGCTCTCCCTGCCCTTCTGTCTGGCACACCGATAGAAGTAGGTAGGGCGGTGAGCCCTACCCAAACCGATTCCGCACCCTGTCACTAGTAAAATAGCACATAGGTATTCCTTATCAATATGAATTAATGAAGATAGAATACGTTTTTTAATCTGGCACTGTTCACTGTTGTGATAAGCATAAGCAGGCCCGCTATGGTACCGGGTATGGCGGTAATCGATTCATCAATAAACTGATTTATTTTATTAATTTTGGCTTCTTATTCAGTTTTGTTTCAATTTTATAATTTTTTTATTTATTTAATAATAAAGATTCTATTATAAAACGTACAACATTTCAGTTTTCAAACACCTAATTTAAAAAAAGTATATTTTTTATGATACCAAGTGACAGGACAAACAAATCCTGCTTGTCCTCAACAGTTGCTGTGCCACACAGAGCTTTAACTCGCAATGATCTTATGGGCACTACCACTGCGTCATAAGTTGAAAAGTCTGTTGTGTAATTTCACCAAATTTTTTGTATTATGGATTACTACTTTTAATTTAAGTAGTTATTGGAAAAGTAGTAGAAACTGCGTA